GNTTTACGTCNTGGATATTTGGGACCATATAGGCAATCTAGATACCATCCTAGCCAGTTTCAAAATCAAGCACCAGCCAAGAATCACAAAGAAAAATTTAATCGCCTNCATTCTTCACTTCGGAGTGTCATTGAAAGAACATTTGGAGTGTGGAAAGGAAAATGGAGGATAATGCAAGATCGAGCAAGATATGACATTCGAACAACAAGAAAACTTGTGGTGGCAACTATGACACTGCATAACTTTGTACGGAGGTCAATTATACCAGATCCTGATTTTGAAGTAAATTGGGAGCAAAATGGAGATTATCAACCGACGTCGGATGAGGAGGTTGGAGCACATGAAGATGGTCAAATGACTGATTCAAGGCAATACATGGAAGGAGTTCGGGATGAGATTGCAATGAGTTTATGGAATGCTCGTAGGTAATAATAATTTTATTATAATATATTTCTTTAAGAACTCATAAATTTTCATGATTTTAAACTTTGTTTAAATTTTAGGATTGTTGGATTTTTTTAATGATGTTACTTATTATGAATGATTCATAAGTTAATTATTTATTATGTTGAAAGCAACATAAAATTTCTAAATTATAATAATTTTTATTTGCATAAATTAATTTAATTAAAACTACAGCACATATCTTATAGTTACCAATCATGTTTTTATTTTAATATAGTTATAGCTACAGCTTTATATCTACAGCAAAAAAATCTACAGTCGAAAAAATGTACAGCTACAGCCAAAACATTTACAGCAAAAATTCTACAGCAATTAATCTACAACTACAGCCGAACCAATCACCCACCTAATCTAATTAAATGATACAAACTTGATTTTTTTTATTTGTAGTCATTATGAATAGTATTTCCACGTTCTGAGCATCTCCACTGGTGTTTCTTAAGAGGGGTTCTAATTTTTTTTTAGAAACAAAAAATAAATGAAAAACATATTTTTTAACTGAAAATGTGTAGAACCGGTTCTGGAATCAAAACTTTAAAACCCTCCTCTAGAATCCCTACGTGTCAGTGTCTGAGTGGTTGATTTTTTTTCCACATTTTTTTTCGTTTCTCTCTCTCTCTCTTCTTCCTTAGAGCTTTCCTTTTACCTTATCTCTCCCACTTAAAGATCACTTCTTCACGAAGAGATTTCGTAACCCTAAACCTAACGTTCTTCACCACGATTGGGTCGGGTTGGATCTGATTTCTCCGGCGTTTTTTTTTCAGAATCGACAGACAAATTTTGGTGTAGAGATCTGTCTGTTTTTTTTTTTTTAATTTTTCTTGGCCCAATTTGTTTAGATTATTAAATAATACTAGGCTCATTTGTTTAATTTTTCTTAGTACTATGTCCATTTATTTTACG